AGGTGGTAGTAGGTGGTAGTAGGTAGTAGGTAGTAGGTAGTAGGTAGTAGGTAGTAGGTAGTAGGTAGTAGGTAGTAGGTAGTAGGTAGTAGGTAGTAGGTAGTAGGTAGTAGGTAGTAGGTAGTAGGTAGTAGGTAGTAGGTAGTAGGTAGTAGGGTAGTAGGGTAGTAGGGTAGTAGGTCAGTAGGTAGTAGTAGTAGTAGTAGGTAGTAGGTAGTTGGTATAGGTAGTCGTATAGGTAGTCGTATAGGTAGTCGTATAGGTAGTCGTATAGGTAGTCGTATAGGTAGTCGTATAGGTAGTCGTATAGGTAGTAGTATAGGTAGTAGTATAGGTGGTGGTATAGGTAGTAGGTAGTAATATAGGTAGTAGGTAGTAGGACGTAGGTAGTGTGTAGTAGGTAGTGGTTAGTAGTAGGTAGTAGTAGGTAGTAGTAGGTAGTAGTAGGTAGTAGTAGGTAGTAGTAGGTAGTAGTGGGTAGTAATGGGTAGTAGTAGGTAGCAGTAGGTAGTAGTAGGTAGTAGTAGGTAGTAGTAGGTAGTAGTAGGTAGTAGTAGGTAGGAGTAGGTAGTAGTAGGTAGTAGTAGGTAGTAGTAGGTAGTAGTAGGTAGTAGTAGTAGGTTAGTTAGTAGTAGTAGTTAGGTTAGTAGTAGGAGGTTAGTAGTAGAGGGTAGTTAGTAGAGTTGTAGTAGTAGGTAGTAGTAGTAGTAGTAGTAGTAGTAGTAGTAGTAGTAGTAGTAGTTAGTGTGAGTAGTAGTACTAGAGTAGGTACTGTAGTAGGTATAGTAGTAGGGTACTAGTAGTAGGTAAGTAGTAGTAGGTAAGTAGTAGTAGGTAAGTAGTAGTAGGTAAGTAGTAGTAGGTAAGTAGTAGTAGTAGTAGTAGTAGTAGTAGTAGTAGTAGTAGTAGTAGTAGTAGTAGGTTAGTAGTAGTAGGTTAGTAGTAGTAGGTTAGTAGTAGTAGGTAAGTAGTAGGTTAGTAGTAGTAGGTTAGTAGTAGTAGGTTAGTAGTAGTAGGTTAGTAGTAGTAGTAGTAGTAGTAGTAGTAGTAGTAGTAGTAGGTTAGTAGTAGTAGGTTAGTAGTAGTAGGTTAGTAGTAGTAGGTAAGTAGTAGTAGGTTAGTAGTAGTAGGTAAGTAGTAGTAGGTAAGTAGTAGTAGGTAAGTAGTAGTAGGTAAGTAGTAGTAGGTAAGTAGTAGTAGGTAAGTAGTAGTAGGTAAGTAGTAGTAGGTAAGTAGTAGTAAGTAGGTTAGTAGTAGTAGGTAGTAGTAGGAGTAGAAGTTAGTAGGTAGTTAGTGGTAGGTAGTAGTAGGTAGTAGTAGGTAGAGTAGGGTCAGTCAGTAGGTAGTAGTAGGTAGTAGTAGGTACTAGTAAGTGGTACTAGTAGGTTACTAGTAGGGTTAGTAGTTAGGTTAGTAGAGAGTAGTAGTAGAGTGGTAGTAAGGTAGGTCGTAGGTAGTAGTTAGGTTGAGTAGGTAGTAGTAGGTAGTAGAGTAGTAGTAGGTAGTAGTAGGGTAGTAGTAGGTAGTAGGTAGTGTAGGTAGTAGTAGGTAGTAGGAGGTAGTAGAGTAGTAGTAGGTGGTAGTTAGGTAAGTAGGTTAGTAGGTTAGAGTAGTAGGTAGAGGTAGCAGGTAGCAGGGAGGAAGGTAGGAGGTAAGTAGGTAGGAGGGAGGAAGGTGAGGGAGGGTAGTAGTAAGTGGTGGGGTAGGAGGGTAGTAGTAGGTAGTAGTAGGTAGTAGTAGGTAGTAGTAGGTAGTAGTAGGTAGTAGTAGGTAGTAGTAGGTAGTAGGTAGTAGGTAGTAGCTAGTAGCTAGTAGCTAGTAGGTAGTAGGTAGTAGGTAGTAGGTAGTAGGTAGTCGTAGTAGTAGGTCGTAGTAGTAGGTCGTAGTAGTAGGTCGTAGTAGTAGGTCGTAGTAGTAGGTCGTAGTAGTAGGTCGTAGTAGTAGGTCGTAGTAGTAGGTCGTAGTAGTAGGTCGTAGTAGGTAGTAGTAGGTAGTAGTAGGTAGTAGTAGGTAGTAGTAGGTAGTAGGTAGTAGGTAGTAGGAGGTAGGAGGTAGGAGGTAGGAGTAGTAGTAGCAGTAGTAGTAGGTAGTAGTAGGTAGTAGTAGGTAGTAGTAGGTAGTAGTAGAAAGTAGTAGAAAGTAGTAGAAAGTAGTAGGTAGTAGTAGGTAGTAGTAGGTAGTAGTAGGTAGTAGTAGGTAGTAGGTAGTCGGTAGTCGGTAGTAGGTAGCAGGTAGTAGGTAGTAGGTAGTAGGTAGTAGGTAGCAGGTAGCAGGTAGCAGGTAGCAGGTAGCAGGTAGTAGGTAGTAGGTAGTAGGTAGCAGGTAGCAGGTAGTAGGTAGTAGTTCGGTGGTAGTAGGTGTGGTAGTAGGTGTTCAGTTATGGTACGGTAGTAGGTCGGTAGTAGGTGGTAGTAGGTGGTTAGTATGGTAGGTAGTATGTTCGTTGCGTAGTAGGTGGTAGTAGGTGGTACAGTAGTAGGATGGTAGTAGTTAGGTAGTA